TTTTTTTTTTTTTTTTCTTTGAACTCCTATAAAATAAAGTGAAGTAAAATTAAAGAAAAACAAAATTATTCAAACATTGTTTTTACATGCATGAGTTCATCACCAACACCATGGAACAATCCTCCTTTGGTTCGGAACTACACGACGAGCCTGATGATTTCAGCTTGAGGGAATGGGCTCTCAAGGCGAAAATCAGCCGAGAAAACACAAATTCAAGACGATTCTATGCATCGAATTTTAAGAGCTTCCGGGAAAATCAAACGTCGTTCAGATCAAACGTGGCCATTTCCAGCGTGGTTTCGTCCCCTGGCTACACCGTTCGAGGTAATGACAAATTTATTCAACATCCATAATGATTTTAATCTGATTGACTCCATTTTTATTTTTTTTTTCGGGCGGTGGAAATAATTTATGCAGATGAGATTAACCCTTCAACATATTCGTTCACAAATGCCCTGAAAGGTAAATATTTTGTACAGATTGTTTACTTACAGGCTCATTTAAAGTATTTTCTTGATCTAACTTTTCTTTTTTTATTTATATATATTTTTATAATTTGTGTGCAGCATTACAAGCAAGAAGAATGTATAGTAATACATGGGAATATGTATCAGCAGATAATGGAGGATTAACTCTGAATTCCAAATGGAATGATGCAGAAAAATACATATGCAATCCTGTGTCAGGACAAGTTCCTTTGCAATGCCTATCATCAAAAGCTCTAAGTGAAAGGTCATCTCAAAGCTTGGTAACAAGCAGAATTAAACAAGTTCCTTTAGTGAATGCAGAGAAGAAAAGGAACACAACAAGACATGTGGGCACCCAAATCAAATTCAGTTCCGAGAGTCCCAATATTCCATCTCGAATTCCTTCATGTGAAGAAAAATCAGCGAAGCCAAGTGAACAAGAAGAAAGTAGAGGGACACCTGTTAACTCCAAAATACAGAAATCAGAGGCTAAGGTACTAATAAAATTTACTCGAACTTTTTCACTCTCACTTGTTACCGAGTAATTTTGCACAGTAAGGTATAAAATGACCCATAGAAGAAGTCTTAAAGTTATAAAGTTCCATCCGCATTTTATATGGA